CCTGGGTGTCAAAAATTTGGGGTGAGGAGAAATATAGAGTTTGATTCAGGTAGGAATCCTGGGTGTTGGGGAGGAATCCGGGGTTTGGGAGAGGGGTCAGGCTGTTGGGGAGGAAGTCGGGGTGCTGGGGAGGATCCCGACCACCAGGGAGAGGTGCTGGCGGTTGAGAAAAACCTCAACCTCCCCACCGCGGCTCCAGACGCCCCGGGGCCCTAAGAGGGAGGCCAGGTGGCCTGGAGTCCCGTCGAGCGGAACACGGGTACGAGGCCACCCCTTAACCCTCCCCGCCCCACCCACCGCGTCCACCTCGTGCCGTCCTCGCCCCTTCCCCACCTACCAGGGATCCACACCGCGCGGTCCTGGGGGGACTGGGGCTTCCGCGGAGGGGCCCGGGGACGCAGCGTGCCGAGGGCGCCGGCTCCACCCCGCGGCCCAAGCCCTGGGAGGAAGCGCGCCGCCCCTTCCGCGTCCCGGGTGGGTGTGGGCCGTGACGTCACGGTTTCGGAGTCCAGCCCCGCCGCCCCGGGAAAGTCCCCAGCCCGCGCGGTCACGTGCGGCACGTATGAGCACCTGCTGTGTGCAGGGCGCGGGAAGAACTGGCGTGTGCCGTCGGGGAGGCCACAGGTCGTCTGCGCTGGGGGCGGAGAGGAGAACGTGATCACAAGGGTGAGGTCGTCTCCCTTGGCGACCCGCGCTTTCCGGAGAGTAGACACGGCGGCTGTTTCCCTTTTTAATTTCTTTATTTATTTTTTTTTGAGACAGAATCTCGCTCTGTGGCCCAGGCTGGAGTGCAGTGGCGCCATCTCAACTCACTGCAGCCTCCACCTCCCGGGTTCAAGCAGTTCTCCTGCCTCAGTCTCCTGAGTAGCTGGGACTGCAGGCATCGGCCACCATTCCTGGCTACTTTTTCGTGGCTAAATTTTTTTTTTTTTTGAGAGACAGGGTTTCACCATTGTTGGTCAGTCTGGTCTTCGAACTCCTGACTTCAGGTGATCCGCCCGCCTCGGCCTCCCACAGTGCTGGGATTACAGGTGAGAGCCACCGTGCCGGGCCTAACTGATGGAGACACAGTCTCACTCTTGCCCAGGCTGGAGTGCAGTGGCGCGATCTCGACTCACTGCAAGCTCCGCCTCCCAGGTTCAAGCGATTCTCCTGCCTCAGCCTCCCAAGTAGCTGGGATTACAGGCACCCGCCACCTCACCCGGCTCATTTCTGTATTTTTAGTAGAGACGGGGTTTCCCCATGTTGGCCAGGTTCCGGTCTTGAACTCCTGACCTCATGTGATCTGCCTGCCTCAGCCTCCCAAAGTGCTAGAGTTACAGCCACCGAGTCCTGCCTAATTTTATAATAATAATTACTGTTATTTGAAATGGGGTCTCCCTATATTGCCCAGGCTGCTCTCAAGCTCCCAGGCTCAAGCAGTCCTCCCACCTCGGCCTCCCAAAGTGCTGGGATTACCGGCGTGAGCCACCTCGCCCGGCCTGTCATTTTATTTTTCTCACCTCATTAAATACGATCTAATAATCACAGTGATTTTTGCGGTAGTGACAAGTGTTGGGTGTGTTTCCAGTTACAATGCAATCTGAAAGTATGTGTGGCTTTTATTAGGGACAAATGGACAAAGTCCCAGGTCCTGCTGCTATCTTCATTCACAATTGAGGAAATGGTAAGTATCAGTGAGGGTCAGTGAAAAGAAAGATGGGAATTTTTTTTGCTCATCAAAATTCACAGACACCCTGAACACCCCAAGAGGTTCAGGGACCCCAGGCTTAAGTAGACCTAAAAGTTCTTATGGGGACCAGGAACGGTGGCTCATGCCTATAATCCCAGCACCTTGGGAGGCCGAGGCGGGTTTATCACTTGAAGTCAGGAGTTCAAGACTAGCCTGGCTAACATGGTGAAAACATGTCTTCTCTACTAATAATATTTTTAAAATTACCTGGGCATGGTGGCGTGCGCACCTGTAGTCCCAGCTACTCCAGGGGCTGAGGCAGGAGAACTGGCTGAACCCGGGAGGCAGGGGGTGCGGTGAGCTGAGATCCCGCCATTGCACTCCAGTGTGGGCTACAAGAGCAAAACTCCACCTCAAAAAAAATTTCTTGCGGGGAGATGGCAGTGGAAGTTATGTTGATGTTCCATCCCCAGAGTTCCCCATATTGAGTGCCTCTCTCTAGTGAGGGAGAAATGTTACTGAGCACTTCCTGTGTTCCAGGCCTGTCTAGGCTATGGGAATACGGTGAGGGAGACAAATGCTCTTTGTTTCAAGGCCTCCAGGGCTGGTGGGGGAGAGAATGTTAGACAAATTCTCCGGCCTCTCTGTCTCCCACTCCAACACTCCAATTCAAGGAGTGTCTCACAGTTTTTCATGGGGACCCACGAAAAACACAGTGGATTTTTTTTTTTTTTTTGAGATGGAGTCTTGCTCTGTTGCCCAGGTTGGAGTGCAGTGGCGAGATCTTGGCTCACTGCAAACTCCGTCTCCCAGGTTCAATCGATTCTCCTGCCTCAACCTCCCGAGTAGCTGGGATTACAGGCATGCGCCACCACACCCCGTGGAGTTTTGTATTTTTAGTAGAGATGAGGGTTCACCATGTTGGCCAGGCTGGTTTCGAACTCCTGACCTCAGGTGATCTGCCTGCCTCAGTCTCCCAGAGTGCTGGGATTACAGGCGTGAGCCACTGCGCCCAGACTTTTTTCTTTCTTTTGAGATGGAGTCTCGCTCTATCATCAGGCTGGAGTGCAGTGGCTCGATCTCGGTTCCCTGCAACCTCTACCTCCCAGGATCAAACAATTCTCCTGCCTCAGTCTCCCCAGTAGCTGGGACTAGAGGCGCGCGCCACCATGCCCAGCTAATTTTTGTATTTTTAGTAGAGATGGGGTCTCACCATGTTGGACAAGATGGTCTCAATCTCTTGACCTCCTGATCAGCCCACCTCAGCCTCCCCAAATGCTGTGATTACAGGGATGAGCCACTGCACCCGGCCTTTTTTTTCCTTGTAAGAGGTGGGATTTCACTCTGTCACCCAGGCTGGAGTGCAGTAGCGCCATCATAGCTCAAAGCAGCCTCCAATTCTGGGCCTCAAACGATCCTCCCACCTGAGCCTCCCAAGTAGCTGGGACTACAGGCATGCAAAACTGTGTTGGACTATTTTTCATTTTTTTTTTTAGAGACAGGGTCTCACTATGTTACCCAGACTGGTTCCTGACTCCTGGCTTTAAGAGATTGTCCCAGTTTGGCCTCCCAAAGTGGTGGCATTACAGGCGTGAGTCACTGTGACTGTGCCTTGGTGGTTATCTGATCAATGTCTTTTTCTCTTTTTTTTTTCTGCCGGAGACAGGGTCTCAGCCGCCCAGGCTGGAGTGCAGTGCTGTGCTCCCCATCACTGGGGGCTTGACTTCCTGGGCTCAAGCAGTTCTTCCACCTCAGCCTCCAAGTAGCTGGGACTGCAGGTACATGCCACCATGCCTGGCTAATTTTTTAAAAACATTTTTTTTTTGTAGAGATGATGTCTTGCTGTGTTGCCCAGCTTGGTTTCAAACTCCTGGCCTCAAGCAGTCCTCCTGCCTTGGCTTCCCAAAGTGTTGGAATTACGGGTGTGAGCCACCATGCCCGGCTTGATCAATGTTTTAAAACAACCTTTTCTCCATCAAGATGGATTTGATGGTTCCCATTTTACAGATGAGAAAACAGGCTCAGAGAAGGTAATGGCTGAAGCACCGACTTCCAGGGCTGCAGATGGATCAGATGGATGAATTTGAGCACTTGCAGACAGGTGCAGTAGCCCCTGTTCTTGTTTATTTATTTATTTATTTATTTGTGACAGAGCCTTGCTCTGTAGCCTAGGCTGGAGTGCAGTGGAGCGATCTCAGCTCATTGCAACCTCCAATTCCCGGGTTCACGCAGTTCTCTTGCCTCAGCCTCCAGAGTAACTGGGATTACAGGCACGTTCCATGCCCAGCTAATTTTTTTGTATTTTTAGTTAAAGACAGGGTTTCATCACATTGGCAAGGGTGGTCTCACACTCCTGACCTCATGATCTGCCGCTCTTGGCCTCCCAAAGTGCCGGGATTACAGGTGTGAGCCATGGGCCTGACCACACCCTCTTCTTCAATGAAAGAAACAGGCCGGTGGCTCATGCCTGTAATCCCAGCACTTTGGGAGGCCAAGGCCAGGGGATCACCTGAGGTCAGGAGTTCAAGACCAGCCTGACCAACATGGAGAAACCCTGTCTCTACTAAAAATACAAAATTAGCTGGGCGTGGTGGCTCATGCCTGTAATCCCAGCTACTTGGGAGACTGAGGCAGGAGAATCGCTTGAACCCAGGAGGTGGAGGTTGTGATGAGCTGAGAGTACACCGCTGCACTCCAGCCTTGGCAACAAGAGTGAAACTCTGTCTTAAAAAAAAAAAAAAAAAGCAGCCAGGCGTGGTGGCTCACGCCTGTAATCCCATTGCTTTGGGAGGTGGAGGTGGGCGGATCATGAGGCCAGGAGTTCAAGACCATCCTGGCCAACATAGTGAAACCTCATCTCTACTAAAAATACAAAAAATTAGCCGGGTGTGATAGCACGTGCCTGTAATCTCAGCTACTCGGGAGGCTGAGGCAGGAGAATTGCTTAAACCCAGGAAGTGGAGGTTGCAGTGAGCCCAGACCGTGCCATTGCCCTCCAGCCTGGGCAACAAAACAGAACTTCATCTAAAAAAAAAAAAAGAAATTTATTTCTCACAGTTCTGAAGGCCAGGCCCAGTAGCTCATGCCTGTAATCCCAGCACTTTGGGAGGATGTGGCGTGAGGATCACTTGAGCTCAGGAGTTCAAGACCACCCTGGGCAATATAGTGAGACCCTGTCTCTACAAAATAAATAAATGAATAAATAAATTACCCAGCCTAAGGTATTTCTGTGATAGCAACAGGGACAGATGAAAACACACGCACATGTGCGCACACACACACGCACGCACACACACGCACATGTGCACACACGCACACACAGCCTGTATGCAGTTGTAGGTGAAGTTTATTAAGGCAATACTGAATGCCAGGGCATTTCAACAAGGCGTGCCGGACAGGCCCCAGCACCCTTCTGCTCTACAATGAAGCTCAGAAGCTCAGCGGTCCCTCCCATCCCCAGGAGGCCCACTTAGGCCAGAAATCCAAGTCCACGCATTACAGGCTGATAGCCAGGGTCATCGGTGTAGACAAAGCGGGACAGAGACTATATACCCAATTTTTAACAAGGAAAAAAAAAATTCAGGTTGGGGGGCAACCTTCGTGAAAAATATTTTTCTGGATATCCCTTTCTACTGACTGATAGGGTGAGGCTCAGAATATGCTTCTTCCAAACTCAGAGGGGGTGAGAGGTTGGCCAGCGGGGTGATGGCCCAGTTTTGAGAGCCTTAGCTTCCAACTGACAGCACGGAAGAGCTGGGAGGAGGGCTTAGAAAATTGGTTTGAAATGGGCCCCAGATTGAGGACTCCAGAGCTGCAGCACAGAAATGGGGCTCCTGAGTCCTCTCCTTTCCCTCTACTTCTCTGGGGCTTTCTCAGTGATTCCAGGGGCAAAGGGTCCCACAAGCCACGTGACAGGTGTGTTCTGGGCCACGTATTCTACCATGTGGTCCAGGGCCTCACGGGCGCTGGCCACGCGCTCACGGCTCTGGGCCAGGATGCTGCTGGACAGGTCCTGGAAGGAGTGGATGCTGGAGAAGGTGGCTTGGAGTTCCTCCATCTGGTGGCGGGCCTGCTGCACCTGGTCCTTCACATTGCTGGGGAGGCCCTGGATGCTGGACCCCAGGGAGGTGCACGTGGCCTGGAGCTGCTGGGCAATGTCCCGGAACATGGTGAGAGCCCGGGACTCAACCTGCTGAGAAAGGAGATGGGGGCGCCAATCAGGACCATGTGTTTCAGGAAAGGTGACTGGAGCTGAAGTCAGGGAAAGGGAAGTTCTACCAGGAACCCTGGAGAAAACGTTTCCATAGGTGAAACTTTTTCTTTTTTTAATGGAGTCTCGCTCTGTCACCCAGGCTGGAGTGCAGTGGCATGATCTCGGCTCACTGCCATCTCCGCCTCCTGGGTTCAAGCGATGCTCCTGCCTCAGCCTCCTGAGTAGCTTAGAGACACGTGCCACCCCATCTGGCTAATTTTTTTGTATTTTTAGTAGAGACAGGGTTTCACAGTGTTAGCCAGAATGGTCTCAATCTCCTGACCTCGTGATCTGCCCACCCTGGACTTCCAAAGTGCTGGGATTACAGGCATGAGCCATTGTGCCCGGCATTTTTTTTTTTTTGAGATGAAGTCTTGCTCTGTCCCCCAGGCTGGAGTGCAGTGGCATGATTTTGGCTCACTGCAACCTCCACCTCCCGGGTTCAAGCGATTCTCCTGCCTCAGCCTCCCAGGTAGCTGGGATTACAGGCGTGCCACCATGCTAATTTTTGCATTTTTAGTAGAGATGGGGTTTCACCATGTTGGCCAGGCTGGTCTTGAACTCCTGACCTCAAGTGATCTTCCTGCCTCGGCCTCCCACAGTGCTGGGATTACTAGGATCAGCCACCACACCCAGCCTCTTTTCTTAAACAGAGTCTCACTCTGTCACCAGGCACCAGGCTGGAGTGCAATGGCGCAATCTCGGCTCACTGCAACCTCCGCCTCCCGGGTTCAAGCAATTCTCCTGCCTCAGCCTCCCGAGTAGCTGGACTACAGGCGTGTGCCACCACGCCCAGCTAATTTTTGTATTTTTAGTAGAGACAAGGTTTCACGATGTTGGCCAAGATGGGCTTGATCTCTTGACCTCATGATCTGCCCGCCTCGGCCTCCCAAAGTGCTGGGATTATAGGCGTGAGCCACTGAACCCAGCTGCCTCTTTTCTTTTAATTACAAACAGGATCTAGCTCTGTCGCCCAGGCTGGAGTGCAGTGGTGCAATCACAGCTCACTGCAGACTCCAACTCCTGAGCTCAAGTGATCTCTGATTTCAGCCTCCTGAGCAGCTGGGACTACAGGCACTCACCACCATGCCCAGCTACATTTTAAAATTTTTCTGTAGAGCCAGGATCTCACTAACTTGCCCAGATCTTAAACTCCTGGGCTCAAGTGATCTGCCTATTTCGGCTTCCCAAAATGCTGGAATTACAGGCATGAGCCACTACATTTGGGTACTAGTCAATTTTTTTTTAAAGGCATAGAAAATCACCAAAGAAGATACAGGGAGAGCAGATGAAAAGCTGTCTGACATTATAAGTCATTAAGGAAATGCAAATCAAACACGCCTGTAATCCCAGCATTTTGGGAGGCTGAGGCGGATGGACCGTCTGAGGTGAGTTCAAGACCAGCCTGATCAACATGGTGAAAGCCCTGTTTCTATGAAAAATACAAAAATTAACCAGGCGTGGTAGTGGGCACCTGTAGTCCCAGCTACTTTGGAGGCTGAGGCAGAAGTATTGCTTGAACCCAGGAGGCAGAGGTTGCAGTGAGCCGAGATCGTGCCACTGCACTCCAGCCTGGGGGACAGAGCGAGACTCTGTCTCAAAAACAAAAAAAAAAAAAACCCAACAAGGACATATCACTTCACAAACCTATTAGGATAGCTGAAAACGGTCAGATAATACCCACTGTCAGTCATGAGGTAGAGAAACTGGGCCGGGAGCGGTGGCTCACGCCTGTCATCCCAGCACTTTGGGAGGGAGGCCAAGGCGAGTGAATCACGAGGTCAGGGGTTTCAGACCAGCCTGGCCAAGATGGTGAAACCCTGTCTCTACTAAAAACACAAAAATTAGCCGGGCGCGGTGGCAGGTGCCTGTAATCACAGCTAGCTGGGAGGCCGAGTCAAGAGAATCACTTGAACCGGGGAGGTGGAGGCTGCGGTGAGCCGAGATCACGCCTCGTGCCACTGCACTCCAGCCTGGGCGACAGAGCAAGACTCCATCTCACAAAAAGAAACAAATGGTCAGATAATACCCACTGTGGGTCAAGAGGTGGAGAACCTGAAGACTCATGCATTGCTGGTGGCACAGGCACTCTGGAAAACAGTGTAGTGGTTTCTCAAATGTTAAACCATAGAATTGTCATATGACTCAGCAGTTCTAGTTGTGGGTGTACGCCCAAGAGAAACGAAAGCAAAGGTCCACACACAAGGACGTGCACACGGGCAGAGCAAAAAGTCCACTGGCTCAAGCGTGTTTCGGTTGATAAATGGATGAACAGAATGTGACCCATCCATACAAGAGAATGTGACTCAGCAGCCATGGAGGAACAGCATGGAGGAACCCTGAGGACGCCACACTCAGTTCAGGAAGCCAGACACAAAAGGTCACCCAGGGCCGGGCCCGCAGTGGCTCATGCCTGTAATCTCAGCACTCTGGGAGGCCGAGGCGAGCAGCTCACAAGGTCACGGGTTTGAGACCAGCCTGGCCAATATGGTGAAACCCCGTCTCTACTAAAAATACAAAAATTAGGGCTGGGTGCGGTGGCTCAAGCCTGTAATCCCAGCACTTTGGGAGGCTGAGGCGGGTGGATCACGAGGTCAAGAGATCGAGACCATCCTGGTCAACATGGTGAAACCCCGTCTCTACTAAAAATACAAAAATTAGCTGGGCATGGTGGCGCGTGCCTGTAATCCCAGCTACTCGGGAGGCTGAGGCAGGAGAATTGCCTGAACCCAGAAGGCGGAGGTTGTGGTGAGCCGAGATCGCGCCATTGCACTCCAGCCTGGGTAACAAGAGCGAAACTCCGTCTCAAAAAAAAAAAAAAAAGGCCATACAGTGTGTAATCCGATTTCTATGAAATGCCCCTGACAGGCCCATCCACAGAGGCAGGAAGTGGATGCGTGGTTGGGAGGAGGAGAAAACGGAGAGACTGCTGATGGGGAAAGACTTTCTTTTTAGGGGCGTGAGATGTGATAGTGACCGTCACGCAATGCTAAGAACTACTGATGTGTATGATTAAAAGGGTGACTTGTGTAACATGCAAATGATACCTCAGTAAAACTGCTGAAAAACAAAAAGTAGAAGCCAGGCCGGGACAGTCTAGAAGAACTTTCTAGGCAGAAGTTGTAGACCACTGGGGGAGAGCACAGTTGAAATCAGAGAGCTAGGAAATGTCCTTGAAAATTTACTCGGCCAGGCCGGGCGCGGTGGCTCAAGCCTGTAATCCCAGCGCTTCGGGAGGCCGAGGCGGGTGGATCACGAGGTCAAGAGATCGAGACCATCCTGGTCAACATGGTGAAACCCCGTCTCTACTAAAAATACAAAAAATTAGCTGGGCACGGTGGCGCATGCCTGTAATCCCGGCTACTCGGGAGGCTGAGGCGGGAGAATTGCCCGAACCCAGGAGGCGGAGGTTGCGGTGAGCCGAGATCGCGCCATTGCACTCCAGCCTGGGTAACGAGAGCAAAACCTCCGTCTCAAAAAAAAAAGAAAATTTCCTCGGCCATGGAGTGAGATGAGCACAGATAGGACTTGTGACCAGCCTGGCCCACATGGTGAAACTCTGTCTCTACCGAAAATACAAAAATTAGGCCAGGTGCGGTGACTCACACCTGTAATCCCAGCGCTTTGGGAGGCCAAGGCGGGTGGATCACTTGAGGTTAGGAGTTCGAGATTAGCCTGGCCAACATGGCAAAACCCTGTGTCTACTAAAAACACAAAGAAAATTAGCCGGGCGTGGTGGCAGACGCCTGTAATCCCAGCTGCTTGGGAAACTGAGGCAGGAGAATTGCTTGAACCCGGGAGGCGGTGGCTGCAGTGAGTAGAGATCATGCCACTGCACTCCAACTTGGGTGACAGAGTGAGACTCTGTCTCAGAAATAAATAAATAAATAAAAACAATAAATAGAAAATACAAATACAAAAAGTAGCCAGGGCCAGGCGTGGTGGCTCATGCGTAATCCCAGCACTTTGGGAGGCCGATGTGGGTGGATCATCTGAGGTCAAGAGTTCGAGACTAGCCTGGTCAACATGGCAAAAAGCCATCTCTACTAAAAAAAACACAAAAATTAGCCAGGTGTGGTGGCATGCGCCTGTAGTCCCAGCTACTCGGAAGGCTGAGACAGGAATATCACTTGAACCCAGGAGGTGGAGGCTGCAGTGAGCCAAGATCATGCCACTGCACTCCAGCCTGAGTCAATCAATCAATCTCAATCAATCAATCAATCATTAATTGATCTGGGGCCAGGCATGGTGGCTGATGCCTGTATTCCCAGCGCTTTGGGAGGCCCAGGTGGGAGTACTGCTTGAGGCCAGGGGTTCAAGACTGGCTTGGGCAACACAGTGAGATCCTGTCTCTACTAAAATTTTTTTTAAAAAATTAGCCAGGTATGGTGGCATGTGCCTGTTCTCCCAGCTCCTCGGGAGGCTGAGGTGAGAGGACTGCTCCAGCCTGCACTGTGCAGCCAGTGAGCTGTGATGGCACCACTGCACTCCAGCCAGGGCAACAGAGAGAGACCCCGCCTCAAAAAGAAAGAAATAACAAAGAAGGCCGGGCGCGGTGGCTCACGCCTGTAACCCAGCACTTTGGGAGGCCAAGATGGATGGGTCACGAGGTCAAGAGATCGACACCACCCTGGCTAAGACAGTGAAACCTCATCTCTACTAAAAATACAAAAAATTAGCTGGGCGTGGTGGTGCACGCCTGTAGTCCCAGCTACCTGGGAGGCTGAGGCCGGAGAATTGTTTGAACCTGGGAGGCGGAGGTTGCAGTAGGCCGAGACAGATTCTCCCTCTGTCACCCAGGCTGGAGTGCAGTGGCATCATCTCAGCTCACAGCAACGTTCCCCTGCTGCTGGGGTTCAAACGATTCTCCGGAGTAGCTGGGCTTACAGGCACCTGCCACCAGGCCCGGCTAATTTTTTTTGTATTTTTGGTAGAGACGAGTTTTCACCAGGTTGACCAGGCTGCTCTTGAACTCCTGACTTCCAGTGATCTGCCCGCCGCAGCCTCCCAAAGTGATGAGGTTACAGGCATGAGCCACCGAAACTGGCCAAATTATAGGATATTTGCATCACTCCCCAAACCAAAAGAAACCCCGCCCCCATTAGCAATCACGGTACATTCCCCCCTTCCCCACCGCCCCTGGCAACCCACAAATCCACTTCCCGTCCCTGGATTTGCCCGCTCTGAGTGTTTCATATAAACAGAATCACATACTGTGGTGACCTTTTGTTTTTTTGTTTTTTGGGTTTTTTTTGAGATGGAGTTTTGCTCTTGTCGCCCAGGCTGGAGTGCAGTGGTGTGATCTCAGCTCACTGAAACCTCCACCTCCCAGGTTCCAGCAATTCTCCTGCCTCAGCCTCCCGAGTAGCTGGGATCACAGGCACCTGCCACCACACTGGGCTAATTTTTAGTATTGTTAGTAGAGATTAGGTTTCTCCATGTTGGTCAAGCTGGTCTCAAACTCCCGACCTCAGGTGATTCACCTGCCTCAGCCCCCTAAAGTGCTGGGATTATAGGCATGAGCCACCACACCTGACCTACGGTAGCCTTTTGTAATCTAGCCTCTGTCACTGAATGTGATGGTTTCAAGGCTGGTTCCCATACCACGTGCTCTATTCCTTTTCGTGGCTGAATAGTATTCCACTGGCACACCTTCTGTGGACGCATTCATCCGCCGATGGACACGGAGCGTTTTCCACTTCCTGGTTACTGTGAATCATGCTGCTGTGGACATTCACAGGTTTAGCACCTTTCATCTTGTTTTTCCTTTTGAGGTTCACTGTGCTGTCGAAGCTGGAATGCACTGGTGCACTTGTAGCTCACTGCAGCCTCAAACTCCTGGGCTCAAGTGATCCTCCCACCTTGGCCTCCCCAGTAGCTGGTTTTGCAGGTTTGTGCCACCATGCTTAGTTCATTTAAACATTTTTTTGTAGACATGGGATCTTGCTGTGCTGGCCAGGCTGGTCTTGGACTCCTGCACTCAAGCAATCCTCCTGCCTTAGCCTCCCAAAGTGCTGGGATTACAGGCGTGAACCACCGCACCCAGCCTATTAATTTAATCTCAACAACCCTGGAGGACGTCCTGTGTCTCATTTACAGATAGGGAAACCAAGTCCTGGAGAGGTTAAGCTGAGAAGCAGACCAAGACAGAGGGAGTATGGTTTGGAACGAGGCATGAGAATTGCATCAGGTGTGCATTTTTCTTTTTGACATGGAGCCTCACTCTGTCGCTCAACTGGAGTGCGGTGGTGCAATCTCAGCTCACTGCAACCTCTGCCTCCCGGGTTCAAGTGATTCCTGCGCCTCAGCCTCCTGCGTAGCTGAGATTACAGACGCCCGCCACCACGCCCGACTAACTTTTGTATTTTTGGTAGAGACACCATGCTTCACCATGTTGGCCACGCTGGTCTCTAACTCCTGACCTTGTGATCTGCCCGCCTCGTAATTTTTGTATTTTTTTAGTAGAGACGGGGTTTCAGCATGTTGGCCAGGCATGGATTTAATGAGACTGAAGTGTATGCTGGGACAGGCGGTAAGTAAGGCCCGTTAGAGGACACAAGAGGCCAAGGCCTGCGATTGAGTGGAGGGGCCGGAGAACACGAGTCAGAAGTTGCTGCTGGGACCCAGGTGGGTGCATATGAAGGACTCCAGGGGAAGAGAAGAATCCAGATTTAAGTTCAACAAGACTCAGCTTAGCATTTAGCAATGTGGTGCACTGCTGTCAAATACTCTCTGATTCAGAAGTCATCCAGATCACCTGAGGTCAGGGGTTCAAGACCAGCCTGGCCAACATGGTAAAACCCCATCTCTACTAAAAACACACAAAGATTAATTAGCCAGGGGCAGTGGTGGGCTCCTGTAATCCCAGCTACTCAGGAGGCTGAATTGCTTGAACCCGGGAAATAAAGGTTACAGTGAGCCAAGATCGCACCACTGTATTCCAGCCTGGGTGGTAGAGCAGAATTTAAAAAAAAAAAAGGAAGAAGCCATACCCATGCATGCCCAAGAGCGGAAATCAAGGCTGGCTTCCTGGAGGAGGTGTCATGGGCTCCTGAAAGCAGGTGAGGCTGGGGAAAGCATTCAAAGCAGGTGGGCCCATGAAGCAAAGGTGTAGAGGGCGGCATCGGGACTCCAAGTACCTCGGGCCACCCCACAGTCCCCCATAGATACCTCTGGCTTGGTCAGCTCCTTCTCGGGGCCCTGGAGCTGCTTCTGGTTCCAGCTGAGCCACATCTGGTGCAGCTTCTCCTGGCCTTCCACCAGCTTCTGATCAACGCTATGCTTGACATTTTCCATCTGGGGCAGGGGAGAGAGAGGTGAGGGAAGGAGGCCCCCCCTGGGAGAGGCGGGATTTCAGCGGGCACCCAGGGGATCCTTCAATCATGACTTACAGGATGGTCTAGAAAAGAGGAAGGAGGGTTTCCCAGCTATGGTGATACTGTGAGCTCTGGGGCCTGTGGTTTGACACACTCATGTTCTGTGTGGTTGGTGCAGAGTGGCCGGCATCCCCTGTAGCTCCTCCCACTGGGTCAATTTCTCCTCTGTTTGCAATGGAGCCTGGACACGTGACTGGCTTTGGACAATGGGACATGAGCAGAGGGAACTAGGGAAGGCTTAAAAAGTGCTTGAGGCCGGGCGTGGTGGCTCACGCCTGTAATCCCAGCACTCTGGGAGGACGAGGTTGGTGTATCACTTTGTCAGGAGTTCCAGACCAGCTGGCTAACATGGTAAAACCTATTTCTACTAAAAATACAAAAAAATAGGATGGGCGCAGTGGCTCACGCCTGTAATCCCAGCACTTTGGGAGGCCGAGGCGGGTGGATCATGAGGTCAAGAGATCGAGAAAATCGTGGCCAACATGGTGAAACCCTGTCTCTACTAAAAATACAAAAATTAGCTGGGCGTGGTGGCGTGCGCCTGTAGTCCCAGCTACTTGGGAGGCTGAAGCAGAACTGCTTGAACCCAGGAGGCGGAGGCTGCAGTGAGCCGAGATTGCGCCACTGCACTCCAGCCTGGCGCCTGGCGACACAGCAAGACTCTGTCTCAAAAAAAAAAAAAAAAAAAAGTGCTTATGATGAAATACTATTCAGCCTTCAAAAGGAATGAAGCGGGTTCACTTCCACAATCCCAGTGCTTTGGGAGGCCAAGCGGGGAGGATCACTTGAGCTCAGGAGCTCCAGAACAGCCTGGGCAACACAGTGAGACCTGGGCACGGTAGCTCACACCTATAATCCCAGCACTTGGCCCAGTGTGGTGGCTCATGCCTGTAATCCTAGCACTTTGGGAGGCCAAGGTGGGTGGATCACCTGAGGTCAGGAGTTCAAGACCAGTCTGGCCATCATGGTGAAGCCCTATCTTAAAAAAAAAAAAAAAAATCCCAGCACTGTGGGAGGCTAAGGCCGGTGGATCACCTGAGGTCGGGAGTTCAAGACCAGTGTGGCCATCATGGTGAATCCCTATCTTAAAAAAAAAAAAAAAAAATCCCAGCACTGTGGGAGGCTAAGGCTGGCGGATCACCTGAGGTCGGGAGTTCAAGACTGTCCTGACCAACGTGGAGAAACCCCATCTCTACCAAAAATACACAGAATCAGCTGGGCGTGGTGGCACATGCCTGTAATCCCAGCCACTCGGGAGGCTGATGCAGGAGAATCGCTTGAACCCGGTAGGTGGAGGTTTTGGTGAGCCCAGATCGTGCCACTGCACTTCAGCCTGGGTGACAGAAGGCTCCGTTTCCAAAAAAAAAAAAGGTGTGAGCCGCTGCGTCCAGCCCCAGACAGTGTGATCTGTGGCAGCAGCCTGAGCAAAGGTGTGTCCAACCAGAGACAGTGCCAGGAGCAAGCGGGGACGGCCCGCCAGCCTGCAGAAGGGTGAGCAAGCGGGGACGGCCCGCCAGCCTGCAGAAGGGTGAGCAAGCGGGGACGGCCCGCCAGCCTGCAGAAGGGTGAGCAAGCGGGGACGGCCCGCCAGCCTGCAGAAGGGTGAGCAAGAGGGGACGGGCCCGCCAGCCTGCAGAAGGGTGAGCAAGCGGGGACGGGCCCGCCAGCCTGCAGAAGGGTGAGCAGTAGACCAGTGAGCTCCCAATGGGTGTCTGCTGTGGGGTGAAGCCCCGGGGGCCTCACCAGGCTTAGGGCCTGCGACAGCTGCAGCAGAGCCTCCTGTGCCCTCTGCCTGGTGGCCCGAAGCTTGCCCAGCGAGTGCTCGTAGGCGTGCTGCCGCAGCCTCTCCGACAGGGAGCCCAGACGCACGAAGTAGCTCTGTTCCTGCCGCTGCTGCTGCACGGACGCAATGTCGAAGCCATCCAGCGACGTGGCGATGCGGGCTGTGGGGAAGAGCAGCAGGGTCTCCGTGACACCAGGACATGCAGCTGGGCTTGTCCCACATGGGCGGTCCCAGGGATCACACTGTCCAGTTTCTTTATTTACTTATTGAGACATCGTTTCGCTCTTGCTGCCCAGGCTGGAATCATACCGTCCAGCTGATTGATTGATTGAGATGGAGTTTTGCTCTTGTCGCCCAGGCTGGAGGGCAATGGCGCAAACTCGGCTCACCGCAACCCCCGCCTCCCGGGTTCAAGGGATTCTTCTGCCTCAGCCTCCTGAGTAGCTGGGATTATAGGCGTGTGCCACCATGCCTGGCTAATTTTGTATTTTTAGTAGAGACGGGGTTTCTCCATGTTGACCAGGCTGGTCTCGAACTCCAAGCCTCAGGTGATCTGCCCACCTGTCTCCCAAAGTGCTGGGATTACAGGCATGAGCCACTACGCCTGACCTATGTTTTTTTTTTAAGACAGAGTCTTACTCTGTCGCCCCTCGGTTCACTGCAACCTCCACCTCCTGGGTTCAAATGATTCTCCTGCCTCAGCCTCCTGAGTAGCTGGGACTACAAGCGGGCACCACCACATCCATCTAGTTTTTGAATTTTGAGTAGAGACGGGGTTTCACCATGTTGGCCAGGCTGGTCTCAAACTCCTGACGTCAGGTGATCTGCCCACCTCAGCCTCCCAAAGTGCTGGGATTACACACATGAGCCACCGTACCCTGCTGATAGGCTAAGTTTCTTATTTGCAAAAATCCCAATCCCAGCACTGTGGGGGATAAGGCAGTAGGATCCCTCCAGCCCAGGAGTTCTTGATGACACAGGGAGACCCCATCTTTACAAAAAGTTAAATAAAGAAGAATTAGTTGGGCATGATGGTGTGTGTTTGTAGTCTCTGTTACTTGGGAGGCTGACGTGGGAGGCTCGTCTGAGCCCAGGAGTTCCAGGCTGCACTGACCTATGATGGCACCACTGCACTCCAGCCTGGGTGACAGAGTGAGACGCGATCTCTAAAAGAGAAAAACAAGAAAATGTGGCCGGGCGCGGTAGCTCACGCCTGTAATCCCAGTACTTTGGGAGGCCGAGTTCGGTGGATCACGAGGTCAGGAGTTCAAGACCAGCCTGGCCAACATGGTGAAACCCCATCTCTACTAAAAATACAAAATTAGCCAGGCATGGTGGCACATCCACCCATCCCGAGTAATCCCAGCTACTCGGGAGGCTGAGACAGAGCGAGACTCCGTATCAAAAAAAAAAAAAAAAAAGAAAAGAAAAATGTTTGCTACCCCCTGGCCTGTGGGGAAGTGATTTTGATAGTAACCCTCAATTTCCCCTTTTGTACCCCAACCCTCGTCAGAGCTGCCTGAAGGGTGCTATTTGGAATAGTTTGCATCTGGAAAGTTATACAATAAATGCTTCACTCTTTCATTATGTATTTACAGCAGATGATGGAGTCTGCAAGTTATAGTAACTATCAGGTTTCATCTCTAAAAGAATCCAGAAAAGTCGATCTAAAGAAGAACGTCAGGCCAGGCATGGCAGCTCATGCCTGTAATTCCAACACTCTGGAAGGCCACAGTGGGTCCTTGGCTTGAGCTCAGGAGTTTGAGGCCAGCCTGGGCAACACAGCAAGACCCTGTCTCTACAAAGAATTCTAAAAAATCTGTTTTAAGCCAGGTATGGTGGTTCACACCTGTAATCCCAGCACTTTGGGAGGCTGAGGAGGGCAGAGCACACGGTCAAGAGATCAAGACCATCCTGGTCAACATGGTGAAACCCCGTCTCTACTAAAAATACAAAAATTAGCAGGGCATGGTGGTGTGTGCCTGTAATCCCAGCTACTCAGGAGGCTGAGGCAGGAGAATTGCCTGAACCCAGGAGGCGGAGGTTGCGGTGAGCCGAGATTGCGCCATTGCACTCCAGCCTGGGTAACAAGAGTGAAACTCCATCTCAAAAAAAAAAAAAAAAAAAATTTAATATGTTTTAAATTAGCCAGGCATGGAGGTGTACACCTACTTTGGAAACTGAGGCGGGAGAATCCCTGGAGATTGAGGCTGCAGTGAGCTATGATCACACCACTGCACGCCAGCCTGGGTGACAGAACAAGACTCCATCTCAAAAACAAAATAAAATAGGCCAGGCACGGTGGCTCATGCCTATAATCCCAGCACTTTGGGAGGCTGAGGCAGGCAGACCACCTGAGGTTAGGAGTTTGCCTGAGGCCGGGCGCGGTGGCTCAAGCCTGTAATCCCAGCACTTTGGGAGGCCGAGGCAGGTGGATCACGAGGTCAAGAGATCGAGACCATCCTGGTCAACATGGTGAAACCCCGTCTCTACTAAAAATACAAAAAAATTAGCTGGGCACGGTGGCGCTTGCCTGTAATCCCAGCTACTCGGGAGGCTGAGGCAGGAGAATTGCCTGAACCCAGGAGGCGGAGGGTGCGGTGAGCCGAGATCGCGCCATTGCACTCCAGCCTGGGTAACAAGAGCGAAACTTCGTCTCAAAAAAAAAAAATTAAATAAAAATTAAAAATAAATAAATAAAATAAAGAAGAAGATCAAATAAAGAGTGCAGGGAGTGCAAGTATATGACGGAGATGATGGAACGCCAGGGTTCTTGTCACAGTGAAGTGAGATCTCAAGTTTAGTCACATGTTTATGGGGGAGCGGAGAGAGCGAAGGGGGAAGAGGAGGGCTGGGAGAAGACAGGGCCGGTTCTACAGGGCCTTGTGGGCTGTGAGGAGGGCTTGGGTTTTGACCCCGAGGGAGGTGGGAGCCACGGGGGGCTGTGGGCAGAGGAGGGACAGGCTCTGACTCAGGTGCTCACAGGCGCCCTCTGCTGGCTGCTGTGGGAAGGAGACTGTGGTGGGGGAGGGCGGGGGGCTGGGGACCAGGACAGAGGGGACCCCCATGCTGGTGATTAGATTCCAAGATGCTGGGAGGGGTGGCAGGGATGAGGTGGCAGTGAGGGACAGACCCAAGGCCGACAGTGGCTTCAGGTCGGGGAGGCCCGGGGAGGGGTCCCAGAGCAGCCCGCTGGCCACACTCACCCAGCTCGGCGTCCGTGAGAGGCAGGTGGTTGTCTACCCACTCCTCCGACTTCCCCAGCACCGTGTCGACCCCACTCAGCACCATCTGGCCCACGCGGGAGCCCATGACCGACTGGACCCCGCCGGTCACTGCAGACTTGGTCTTGTCCACGCCGCTCTGCACGGCACCACAGGTGGCGCCCACCGCCTCCGACACTCGTGTGGTCACTGTGTCCTTGGCGCTGGCCACCATCTCTCGGGCCCCCGACACCTTGGACGACACAAGCTCCTTGGTGTCCGCCAGGACCTAGGAGAGACGGCACCATCAGCGTCTCTGCCTTCCTGCCACTCGTGGGCACCCCCCTGCTGTACCCTAACCTCTAGGGAGATGGAGGCAGGAAGCGCCATCCCCTCGGGCGACTCTGAGTCTGGAGTTGTGGTCATGAGCTCATATTCTACAGCCAGACTACTGAGGCTCCGTCCCTGGCTTGCTGCTTCTCAGCTGTGTGGCTTCAGGCAAGGCACTCTACCTCTCTGTGCCTAGTTGCTTTTTTCTTTTTTTTGAGACAGGGTCTTACTCTGTTACCCAGGCTGGAATGCAGCGACATGATCTTGGCTTACTGCAACCTCTGCCTCCTAGGTTGGAGCAATTCCCCTGCCTCAGCCTCCCGAGTAGCTGGGAGTACAGACACCTGCCACTATGCCGGGCTAATTTTTCTTTGTTTTTTTGAGACAGAGTTTCGCTCTTGTTGCCTAGGCTGGAGTGCAATGGTGCCATCTCGGCTCACTGTAACTTCCACCTCCCAGGTTCAAGTGATTCTCCTGCCTTAGCCTCCAGAGTAGCTGAATTACAGGCATGCACCACCATGCCCAGCTAATTTTCTGTTTTTAGTAGACACGGGGTTTCACTACGTTGGCCAGGCTGGTCTCAAACTCCTGACCTAAAGTGATCTGCCCTCCTCAGCCTCTCAAAGTGCAGGGATTACAGGCATAAGCCCCCGCACCCAGCCTGGGGTTTATGTATTTATTTATTTAACTGTGTTGTTTTGGGTTTTTTTGTTTGTTTGTTTTGAGGCAGAGTCTCACTCAGTCGCCCAGGTTGGAGTGGAGTGGCTGAATCTCGGCTCACTGCAACCTCCACCTCCTGGGTTCAAGCCGTTCTCCTGCCTCTGCCTCCCGAGTAGTTGGGCCTAAAGGCACACGCCACCACACCTAGCTAATCTTTTGTATTTTTAGTAGAGACAGGGTTTCACCATGTTGGCCAGGATGGTCTCGATCTCTCGACCTTATGATCTGCCCACCTCAGCCTCCCAAAATACTGGGATTACAGGCGTGAGCCACTGCGCCCGGCCAAACTCTTGACTCTTTGAGAGGCGCAATGCTCTCTCAGCTCTGGGCCCTGTGAGTTTTTTTCTCCTCCGGGAAGAGTTAACTTCCCCCAGGTTCTGAGGGACGGTGGTGTTTCCAGAGCTGGATTTCAGTCCAGGCCGGTGTGAGCACGGAGCTCACAGCAGGCCAGGCACAGGGGCTCACACCTGTCATCCCAGCGCTTTGGGAGGCCAAGGCGAGAGGACCATTTGGGCCCAGAAGTTGGAGACTAGCCTGGGCAACATAGCAAGACCCCACCTCTACAAAAAAATACAAAAATAGGCTGGGCGCGGTGGCTCACGCCTGGAATCCCAGCACTGGCTGGGCATGGCTGAAGCGGGTGGTGGCTAACACCTATAATCCCAGCACTTTGGGAGGCTGAAGCGGGTGGATCACAAGGTCAGGAGCCCTAGACAAACCTGCCAAGATGGTGAGACCTCGTGTCTCCTAAAAAATACAAAAGCCCGGCGTGGTGGCAGAGGCCTGTAATCCCAGCTACTCGGGAGGCTGAGGCAGGAGAATCGCTTGAACCCTGGAGGGCGGAGGTTGCAGTGAGCCGAGATTGTGCCACTGCGCTCCAGCCTGGGTAACAGAGTGACACTCTAGTCTCCAAGAAACAAAAGAGAGAGCTCCCAGCTGCTGCTCCGTTCAACGACCTTGAAGAATTCACCCTGAGCTTATCCCTTCCATAAACACAAGGAACGTTGGCCTCCCATGTGATCAGAAGGAGAGAAAGAGAATGCAGAGGCCTGGCCCTGAGATGGGGGCTCCTGGGCCACATTTCCCCGTCTTTCTGTGAACTCACCAGCATCCATCCTCCCTCAGCCAAGCCCACTACTGGCCTTTGAGGATAAGGGGCAGGTGTGGCCCGGCACAGTGGCTCAGGACTGCAATCCCAGCGCTTTGGGAAGCCGAGGCAGGAGGACAGCTTGAGGCCAGGAGTCCGCCTTTTGGTTTTTGTTTCTGAGATAGAGTCTCGCTCTGTCGTCCGTCCAGGCTGCAGTGAAGTGGCAGGATCTCGGCTCACCGCAACCTCCGCCTCCTGGGTTCAAGCAATTCTCCTGCCTCAGCCTCCCGAGAAGCCTGGATTACAGGCACGCGCCACCACGCCTAATTTTTCATTTTTAGTAGAGACAGGTTTCACCATGTTGGCCAGGCTGTTATCAAACTCCTGCTCTTGTGATCTGACCGGCTGGGCCTGCTGAAGTGCTGGGATTACATGCATAAGCCGCCGCACCCGGCCAGCGCTGGGATTCCAGGCTTGAGCCGCCGCACCCAGCTACGAGTTTGAGACCAGCCTGGGCAAATAGCAAGACCCCATCCCTCCAGAAAATTTAAAAATTAGCCGGGGGTTGGCCGGGCGTGGTGGCGCACGCCTGTAATCCCAGCCACTTGGGAGGCTTAGGCGGGAGAATCGCTTGAACCCAGGAGGTGGAGGTTGCAATGAGCTGAGATCGCGCCGCTGGTCTCCAGCCTGGGCGGCAAGAGTGAAATTCTGCTCAAAATAAAAAAGATAAAGAAAGCGAGGCCCAGAGAAGCAAAGCAGCCTGAGTGCCACCCAGCTGCTGAGCGCAGGACAGTTTAGCACGTGGTGTTTTGACCTCCCTGCCTCCAACCTTTTCTGATTAATAAAATAGTTACGGGGTTGGCACCAGCCTCTGTGAAGGGCCAGATAGTGAATACTCTCAGTACTGTGGGTCACAGTGTCAGTCACAACTACTCACCCCTGCCATTGTTGGGTGAAAGCAGTCATAGACAATATGTAAATGAGCATGGCTGTGTGCCAATAAAACTTTATTATTATTATTTTTTTTTTGAATGGAGTTTTGCTCTTGTTACCCAGGCTGGAGTGCAATGGCGCGATCTCGGCTCACCGCAACCTCCGCCTCCTGGGTTCAGGCAATTCTCCTGCCTCAGCCTCCCGAGTAGCTGGGATTACAGGCACACGCCACCATACTCAGCTAATTTTTTGTTTTTTTTAGTAGAGACGGGGTTTCACCATGTTGACCAGGATGGTCTCGATCTCTTGACCTCGTGATCCACCCGCCTCGGCCTCCCAAAGTGCTGGGATTACAGGCTTGAGCCACCGCGCCCGGCTGAAAACTTTATTATAAAAACAAGTGGTCCGGGTGCAGTGGCTCATTCCTATAATCCCAACACTTTGGGATCCCATGGTGGGTGGATGGCCTGAGGTCAGGACTTCAAGACCAGCTGGGCAACAGGGCGAAACCCCGTCTCTACTAAAAATACAAAAAATTAGCTGGGCATGGCGGCACGTGCCTGTAATCCCAGCTACTCGGGAGGCTGAGGCGGGAGAATTGCCTGAACCCAGGAGGCGGAGGTTGCGGTGAGCCGAGATCGCGCCATTGCACTCCAGCCTGGGTAACACGAGTGAAAACTCTGTCTAAAAAAAAAAAAAAAAAAATACAAAAACTGGCTGGGCATGGTGGCGGATGCCTGGCTGGCTTTGCAATTATTCCTCCAGCTGCCCAGTGGGGATTGGATTTGGGGTGGGGATGGCAAACGACAGGAGAGGGACCAGGGAGGATGCTACCACGCTTTCTACTTAAGATGGAACCAGAGCACTCTACAACCAAGCAGGTCCCCGTCTCGGCAGTGCCCCCGAGGGCAGACATCCTACGTTACCTTCTCCGTGGGCTGCTGCAGGATGGGGAGGTTCTCCTCCAACTTGTCCAGCCCCCTGTGGGCTAATTCGCTGGCTGACGCAACTACCAAAAAACACATTAAGCAAGATGCAAATGTGACTGTTGGAAGGTCACCTAGTGCAACGGGCCAGGACTGAAAACTGGGCAGACCCCCTACCCCCAACCCGGGGAATCAGCCAGGAGCGGGGTTCAGTGCCCTCTGGGACTTCACCCACTCTGTGGCTCCAGCTTGGAGAGGATGGGCTGAGCCCCGCTGACAGCGGCCGCCGTGAGGGTCCGCACTCCCTTCTCTGCCACATCACAGACGGTCTTGACATGCGGGTGGCTGTCCTTGGTGGAGGCATAGGCCGCGGACACCATGTCACAGGTGGAGCTGATGAGGGGCATGTTGGCCACGCGGTCCACCACACTCGGCTACAGAAGAGAAGCGGCTCAGGAAGACCGGGCGGGGAAAGATGGGGGGCTGGGCGGGAAACTCGGGGTGCCCTGCAGTTTTGCTCTCCCTCTTGGCTGCCAGACGGCTCGGCTCACCCCACACGTTGCATTCCAGGTGGGAGCACTAGCCAGGAATCTTGGGATTTTGTCACATGCTTCCTTTAACACAGCCTATGGATGTGCGTCTGCCCTTTCTGTTTTTTTGAGATGAAGTCTTGCTCTGTCACCAGGCTGGAGTGCAGTGGCACAATCCTGGCTCACCGCAACCTCCGCCTCCCAAGTTCAAACAATTCTTCTGCCTCAGGCTCCTGAGTAGCTGAGATTACAGGCATGTGCCACCACACCCGGCAAATTTTTATATTTTTAGTAGAAACAGGGTTTCGCCATGGTGGCCAGGATGGTCTTGATCTGTTGACCTCATGATCCACCTGCCTTGGCCTCCCAAAGTGCCTGGATTATAGGCGTGAGCCACCGTGCCTGGCCTGTGAGCCTGCGTTTTATCCCAGCCATGTGCCAGGTGGTGATAAAGGACAAGAGTCCCAGAGCTTGGCTGTTAGGCAACTATGCCACCTTGCTCCCGGCCGAATAAACCCTCCTTCCTCCTGTATTCGGTGTCCGAGAGACCCGTTTCCCGCGGCCGCTCCTGCTACATTTTGGTGTGTTGGCCGGGAAGCGAGTCTCAGATAGCAGACGCCGGGAAAAAGTCTCTTAGGTGGTTCCCCTAGACCTGTGGAGGAATCCTGCTCACTGGAGTGATGCACCCTGAGAGCGCTCCCGGGCAGGTATTTGCCCGGTGGAAAAGCCTCGCCAGAGCGGAGCAGGGAGGTCCCGCAGTGTGGATCCACCCAGTGGCTGAACACCGAGGAGGAACGAGCATTTGGGGAAGTCCGGACCACTGAATTTGGTAAGATTGAACCCGGGAAAGTAGCCCACCCCATTATGGGTGGAAGGGTGGCCTGATCACCCATGGGTGCCAGATCGGCACTTTGGAAGGTAGCTCTCTCTGTAACTAACCTTGGAAGGTTTTGAATTGGGAGGAGAGCAATCGGATGTGTGTCTGTGTGTAGATGTGTCCAGCCGGGCTCATCAGTCGTAAAAGGTATCGGGCCCATTGGGAAGGGCCTCATGCGCTGAGCAATTTGTAACAATTAGAGACAGCCGGCCGGGCGCGGTGGCTCACGCCTGTAATCCCAGCACTTTGGGAGGCCGAGGTGGGTGGATCACGAGGTCAAGAGATCGAGACCATCCTGGTCAACATGGTGAAACCCCATCTCTACTAAAAATACAAAAAATTAGCTGGGCATGGTGGCGCACGCCTGTAATCCCAGCTACTCGGGAGGCTGAGGCAGGAGAATTGCCTGAACCCAGGAGGCGGAGGTTGCGGTGAGCCGAGATCGAGCCATTGCACTCCAGCCTGGGTAACAAGAGCGAAACTCCGTCTCAAAAAAAAAAAGAATTAGAGACAGCCACAGAAGGCTGAGTGAAGAAGGCTCTGGGCGTGGATCTGGCCACTGCGCTCCAGCCCAGGCGACAGAGTGAGACTCCGTCTCAAAAATAAATAAATAACACAAAAACTAGCCGGGCGTGGTGGTACATGCCTGTAATCCCAGCTTCTCAGGAGGCTGAGGCAAGAGAATCATTTGAACCCAGGAGTCAGAAGCTACAGTGAGCCAAGATCGCACCACTGCACTCCAGCCTGGGCCATAGAGTAAGACCCCATCTCAAAAAAAATTGTTTTTAAGTTTTAATTTTTTAGACACAGCGTCTTGCTCTGTCACCAGGCTGGAGTGCAGTGGCACAATCATAGCTCACTGCAGCCTTGAACTTCCTGGCTCAAGCGATCCTCCCACCTCAGCCTCACAAAGTGCCAGGACTACAGGCAGGAGCCACTGCGCCTGGCCCGAGTTCTTGTTGTTTTTTTCCTAACAACTTTGAGACATAATTTATACCCAGTAAATGTCACTCTTCATAGGCATACAATTCTGTGGTTTTAAAATATACTGACGCTTAAGCCCAGGAGGGTGAGGTTGCGGTGAGCCACGATCATGCCACTGCACTCAAGCCTGGGTGACAGACCAAGGCCCTGTCTCAAAAAATAAAATACAGTCCAGACACAGTGGCTCACGTCTGTAATCCCAGCACTTTGGGAGGCTGAGGCGGGCGGATCACTTAAAGTCAGGAGTTCAAGACCAGCCTGACCAACATGGTGAAACCCGATCTCTACTAAAAATACAAAAAGTAGTCGGGTATGGTGGCGGGAACCTGTAATTCCAGCTATTCAGGAGGCTGAGGCAGGAGAACCGCTTAAACCTGGGGAGGCAGAGGTTGCAGTGAGCTGAGATGGCACCACGGCACTCCAGCCTGGGCCACAGAGCGAGACTCCATCTCAAAAACTATACATATAAAATAAAATTTGGCTGGGTGCGGTGGCTCAAGCCTGTAATCCCAGCACTTTGGGAGGCCGAGGCGGGTGGATCACAAGGTCAAGAGATGGAGACCATCCTGGTCAACATGGTGAAACCCCGTCTCTACTAAAAATACAAAAAATTAGCTGGGCATGGTGGCGCGTGCCTGTAATCCCAGCTACTCAGGAGGCTGAGGCAGGAGAATTGCCTGAACCCAGGAGGCGGAGGTTGTGGTGAGCCGAGATCGCGCCATTGCACTCCAGCCTGGGTAACAAGAGCAAAACGCCGTCTCAAAAAATAAAAATAAAAAATAAATAAAATAGCACGAGGAGGAGAGATTTGGAGTGGAGATTGTCTTCCTCGGAGGTCCCGAAGAGAAACTTCAGAGATGAGGATGATTTGGCTGAGGGGTTGGGAGGGCAGGTAGTTTCAGACAGAACCCTGTCCCCCTGGGCCCTCCCAGGGCCTTTGAGATTCGCCCGCACCGAACCAAGGACACCAGTGAGTGGTGTGTACCCGGCTGAGGAATAAATCCCTCTGGCTCCGTGAGCTGTGGGCAGATCCCGGGCTCCCCGCCAGAGCACCTTGGCGTGGCAACCCTCACTGCACCCGAGTCACAGGGTCGAGGCAGTCCCTGGTCCCGGTCCTTCCTCACCTGCTGCACCGGTTCTTCCGCTGTCACCTGGGTGCTGGCATCAGCCTCCGCCCCGTTGGCAGACATGGTCTCGGCAGCAGACACTGTGGACAGAGGAACAGATACAGCCTGCCTGGCCCCACCTTCCAGGAGAAAGTCCAGGCTCACACTGCAGCTGGAAGACAGGGTTCACAGCTGCCCACCAACACCTCACAGTGACTTACAGCCATGCCTCTCAGTCCTTAGCAGGCACAAGGGTGACCTGTGGACTTCATTCTTACTAAGTGCTGATTCTGTAACTTCTTTTTTTTTTCCTTTCTTTTTTTATCTTTGGAGACAGAGTCTCACTCTGTCGCCCAAGCTGCAGTACAGGGGCACAATCTCGACTCACTGCAACCTCTGCCTCCTGGGTTCAAGCGATTCTCCTGCCTCAGCCTCCCAAGCAGCTGAGATTACAGGTGTGAGCCACCATGCCCGGCTAATTTTTGTATTTTTAGTAGAGACGAGGTTTCATCGTGTTGGCCAGGTTAGTCTCGAACTCCTGATCTCGTGATCCGCCCACCTAGGCCTCTCAAAGTGTTGGGATTACAGGCGTGAGCCACCACACCTGGCCCTTTCTTTTTTCTCATTAGAGATGGGCTTGGCCAGGCGCGGTGGCTCACACCAATGATCCCAGCACTTTGGGAAGCCAAGGCGGGCAGATCACGAGTTTGGGACCAGCCCACCAACATGGTGAAACCCCATCTCTACTAAAAAAAATATAAAAATTAGCCAGGCATGGTGGCACCTGCCGGTAATCCCAGCTACTTGGGAGGCTGAGGGAGGAGAATCCCTTGAACCCAGGAAGAGGTTGCAGTGAGCCGAGATGGAGTCAAAAAAAAAAACAGGCATCATCTTGCTCTGTCACCTAGGCTGGAGCACAGCGGTGCAATCACAGTCACGGCTCACTGCAGCCTCCAACTCCTGGGCTTGAGGGATCCTCCTGCCTCAGCCTCCCAAGTCACTAGGACTGCAGGCACCTGCTACCACCCGTAATTAATTTTTTCTTTTCGGGCCAGGCGCGGTGGCTCATGCCTGTAATCCCAGCACTTTGGGAGGCCAAGGCGGGTGGTTCACGAGGTCAAGAGATCGAGACCATCCTGGTCAACAAGGTGAAACCCCGTCTCTACTAAAAATACAAAAATTATCTGGGCATGGTGGTGCGCGCCTATAGTCCCAGCTACTCAGGAGGCTGAGGCAGTAGAATTGTCTGAACCCAGGAGGCGGAGGCTGCGGTGAGCCGAGATCGCGCCATTGCACTCCAGTCTGGGTAACAACAGCGAGACTCCGTCTCAAAAAAAAAAAAAAAATTTTTTTTCTTTTTGGTAGAGATGGTATCTTGCTATGTTGCCCCAGCTGGTCTCAAACAATCCTCTTGACTTGGCCTCCTAAAGGACTGGGATTACAGGCGTACAGCACACTGCCCTGCATTTTTCAAAGGCTCCCAGGCGGTGCTGACACAGCTGGTCCCTGGGATACCTGTCAGGGAGCAAGGCTTGGGAACAGCCCTTCCAGGGCTCACTTGTGTCACCTGTACTCCAGAAAGCCAGGTGTGACCTAAAACCTCTGCAGAGGACAATTTGCCAATCGCTGTCACATTCCAAGAGCCATCTTCCCCTTGACCCAGAAACCTCTCTTCGGGGAATATCCCACACCTGGATTTCCACATGGGCAGAGGTGTGTGGACCTGCCACAGTGTGAAACTGGAAACAACGTGGGTGCCCAGCAGAAGGGGAATAAGAAAATAGTAAGTGTTGGCAGGGTGCAGTGGCTCATGCCTGTAATCCCAGCACTTTGGGAAGCTGACGCAGGTGGATCACCTGAGGTTGTGAGGTGATCAGGAGGGCGAGACCAGCCTGACCAACATGGAGAAACCCCATCTCCAGTATAAATATAAAAATTAGCTGAGTATGATGGCTAACACCTGTAATCCCAGCTACTCAGGAGGACAAGGCAGGAGACTCACTTGAACCCAGGAGGCAGAGGTTTTGACGAGCCAAGACAGCACCACTGCACTCCAGCCTGGGAAACAAGAGCAAAACTCCCTCTCAAAAAAGAAAAGAAAAGAAAAGAAAAGAAAAGAAAAGAAAAATAACAAGTGTACCCCAATGCAGTGGAAGAATGAGATTTAAATGTAAGTGACACGGGCCAGGTATGGTGGCTCACACCCATAACCCCAGCACTCTGGGAGTCCAAAGCAGGAGGATCATCTGAGATCAGGAGGGCGAGACCAGCCTGGCCAACATGGTGAAACCCTGCCTCTACTAAAAATACACAAATTAGCCTGGCATGATGGCACACACCTCGAAGTGTAATAATCCCAGCTACTTTGGAGGCTGAGGCAGGAAAACCTCAGCTGAAACCGGGAGGTGGAGGTTGCGGTGAGCCGAGATAGCACCACTGCACTCCAGCCTGGGCGACAGAGCAAGACTCCGTCTCAAAAAAAAAAACAAAACAAACAAAAGACTAAATGTAGCCTATAATCCCAGCACTATGGGAGCGGAGTCAGTTGGAGCACGAGGTCAGCAGTTCAAGACCAGCCTGGCCACCATAGTGAAACCCTGTCTCTACTCAAAATACAAAAATTAGCCAAGCATGGTGGGGGGCACTAGTGAGCCCAGCTACTTGGGAGGCTGGGCAGAAGAATCACTTGAACCTAGGAGCGGGAGGTTGCAGTCAGCCAAGATCATGCCACTGTACTCCAGCCTGGGTGACAGAGAGAGACTCCATCCCAAAAAACTGGGCTAAAGGTCGTGGCTGCCTCACAGACTGCTTTCCTGGGGAATTCTGGTGTGAGTGTAAAAACCTGTGACCTTGACTCTGAGCATTTCTTCCCAGTGGAAAGAGGCCCAGCCTCCCAGCAGCTTTGCTTTGAGGTTTCCTAAGCAGAACCCAGCAAATGACGTTTTTGAGAGCGCTAGATCTGGAGTCCAGCCTGGGTTCTCTTTTACTTATTTATTTTTCCTTTTTGTGTGTGTGTGTGATGGAGTTTTGCTCTGTCACCCAGGCTGGAGTGCAGTAACATGATCTCGGCTCACTGCAACCTCCGCCTCTGGGGTTCAAGAGATTCTCCTGCCTCAGCCTCCTGAGTAGCTGGGATTACAGGCTCCCACCACCATATCAGGGTAATTTTTATATTTTTAGTAGAGGCCAGGCTGGTTTCAAACTCCTGACCTCAAATGATCTGCCCACCTTGGCCTCCCAAAGTGCTGGGATTACAGGGCATGAGCCATCATGCCCAGCCCAGTCTGGGTTATAATCCCAGCTTGCCAACTCACTAGGAATAGGAGCTTGGGAAGGCAGCATTCCCTAGAAGCCTTGCTTGCCAGATCTGCGAAATGGGTACAAGTGTCTCACAAGAGCCAAGGGTCCCTGTGAAGCAGAGAAGACACTGCTGTGCCTGGCACACAGTAAGTGCTCCATAAACCGTCTCACTGTAGCTGAATGCAGTGGCTCACGCCTGCACTAAGGGAAGCAAGGTGGGCAGATCACAAGGTCAGGAGTTCAAGACCAGCCTGACCAACATGGTGAAACCCCGCCTGTACTAAAAATATAAAAATTAGCTGGGCATGGTGGCGAGCCGTCATCCCAGATACTCAGGAGGCTGAGGCAGGAGAATCGCCTGAGCCTGGGAGGCAGGGGTCGTAGTGGGCCGAGACTGTGCCACCGCACTCCAGCCTGGGTAACAGAGCGAGACTCCGTTTCAAAAAAAACAACCCATCTCACCACACTCTGGCTTCCATGGACAAAGGGGTGAAGCCAGCCAGGAACCCGCTTCCTGCTAGATACAAAAGTCCCCCAGCTGGGAAGTCAGGTGAGGAGACACACCTACCTCTCAGTGACCATTGCCTAATCTATTCTCCTCACTTCCTGAGCTCACCTGGGCAGGGGGCCAGGTAAGCAGGCATCGAAGTCCTAGCCTCAAGAGATTCCCAAGTCCCACTTAGGACTCAGGCAGCTTCCTCCCGTCCCCTTTGTCCACCATGACCTCCTGGAACTGGCTTAAACAAGGGCCGCCATTGCAGAAGTCAACACCCACTGAAAGCCTTGGGGGTCAACGACCCGTTTGGCCGCTGGCTCCAGAAGGGGAGCGCCAGGCCAGACACAGCCATCCAGCAACTTCCCGGCATCCTAAGACTGACTTCCAAAATTCCAAGAGCCCCAGGTCCCACTGCCAGGCCCGGTCGGGACTAGAACCCCAAAGGAGTTAAGGGTATGCCTTCCTACTTCTAAGCCACCTCGCTGCCACGCCCACCCGAGGGAAGGCGGCAGGATTTGCGCAAGACCTCCCCGGAATCAGCTGGGGGCGCCAGGAGCTGGGGCAAACCCCCGGTGGCAAAACCAACGGTAGGGGAGGTGGCTTTCCAGTGGGGGGGTGTCTCCGAAGACCCCGGAAGGGAGGGCGGAGTTTCTGCCCAGAGGAGGAAACTAGCCAGCAAATTGCGTTTCCAAAAGCAAGCACACTGTTCAAAATTTAGAGAAAACCTGGTGGTGGGGGCGGTATTTAGCCCACCCCCCACCATAGCACCCCCTTCTAGGGCTGTGCCCTTTCGCCCCTCAAAGTCCCAGGAAGTGAGAAGAGACTTTCAAAGTCTGAGCTGCGCAGCCAAGTTAGATTTTTTTTCTGGGGGGGGGGGTGATCAGCCCGGGCTGAAGACCCCTCCCCAGGCCGCAGACTCCAGCAAATCCCACTCCCAGAAAGGCCCTCCCCGACCCCTCCGCCCCTGGGGTGCTCAGGATTCGGTGGATTCCGCCCCCCCAGCTCAACTGAGGCGCCCCCGCCACTCACCGCGGTCAGCGGGACGTCCCAGGCACAGCGGCCACGACTTAAAAGACCAGCCTGGAAACCGTCCGAGCCGGGCCGGGGCTGGCTTTTACCCCGTGGTGCGGTGGGAGGGGGGGCGCCCGGGAGTGACGGGTCAGAGGACCAATCAGGTTGAGGGAATGCCCGCGCCGGGCCCGCCCCCTCCTCCCTGCCCCGCCTCCACCAGCCCCGCCCTCTCCGAGTCACTTACGAAGTCCGGGAAGGACTCCGGGCCCTGCCCCTGGAGGGGAGGGGGCACTCCTGGACCACGCCTGTCCCAGCCAAGGGACGACCCCTCTGCAGCTGAGGACCCTATGAAGTTGGCACTGGGAGGTGAGTGCCATCAGGGGGCACAAAACGGGTGCTGGGGTTCCCGAGGTCGCCCATTTTCCCTATGGTCAAACTGAGGTTGCAAGAACCCAGGGAGAGTTGCAGGGTGACCTCCGCCAGCGCGTCAAGGGCCACGCCCTGGGCTCCAACCCATCTATCTATCTATCTATCTATCTATCTATCTATCTATCTATCTATCTATATAATTTTTTTTTTAAAGAGACGGTGTTTCACCATGTTGGTCAGGCTGGTCTTGAACTCCTGACCTCGTGATCCACCCGCTTCGGCCTCCCAAAGTGCTGGGATTACAGGCTTGAGCCACCTCGTCCGGCCTCTTTTATGTTTTTAATATATTTTTTTTTTTTTTTTTTTTTTGAGACGGAATCTTGCTCTGTCGCCCAGGCTGGAGAGCAGTGGTGCTATCTCGGCTCACTGCAGCCTTCAGTGGGAACCTCCCAGGTTCCAGAGATTCTCTGGCCTCAGCCTCCCAAGTGGCTGGGATTACAGGCACGCGCCACCACGCCCAGCTAATTTTTTTTGTATTTTTAGTAGAGATGGGGTTTCTCCGTGTTGTACAGGCCGGTCTTGAACTTCTAACCTCAGGTGATCCGCGTGCCTCGGACTCCCAAAGTGCTGGGATAACAGGCGTGAGCCACTGCGCCTGGTCAACCATATTTATTGAGTCCTATGTTGGGGACAGCAGCGAGCTAAACAGATAAGGATTCCAGCTCTTGTTTTTTTTTTTTTTTTTATTGAGACGGAGTTTCGCCCTTGTTACCCAGGCTGGAGTGCAATGGCGCGATCTCGGCTCACCGCAACCTCCGCCTCCTGGGTTCAGGCAATTCTCCTGCCTCAGCCTCCCGAGTAGCTGGGATTACAGGCATGCACCACCATGCCCAGCTAATTTTTTGTATTTTTAGTAGAGACGGGGTTTCACCATGTTGAGCAGGATGGTCTTGATCTCTTGACCTCGTGATCCACCCGCCTCAGCTTCCCAAAGTGCTGGGATTACAGGCGTGAGCCACCACGCCCGGCCTAGGATTCCAGCCCTTGTGACACTCACCACCCAGTGGGGGAGACGGACAAGAACAAAATGAGTGAGTGAACTTTACAATGGGTCAGGTGGTGGGACGGCAAAGGAAGAGACGAAAGCGGACAGATGTGAGGGCTGCAGGGTTTTTGTTTTTGTTTGAGACAGAGTCTCACTCTTGTCACTCAGGCTGGCGTACAGTGGCATGATCTCAGCTCACTGCAACCTCTGCCTCCCATGTTCAAGCAATTATCGTGCTTTAAGCTCCCAAGTGGCTGGGACTACAGGCGTATACCACCACACGTGGCTAACTTTTGTATTTCTCTTTTAGTAGAGACAGGGTTTTACCGTGTTGACCAGACTGGTCTTGAACTCCTGACCTCACGTGATCCACCAACCCTGACCTCCCAAGGGTTACGGGCATGAGCCACCATACCTGGTGGGGCCACAGTTTTTAATAGAGGGGTCAGAGGAGGCCTTTCTGAGTGACAGCCAAGAACAGAAGAGAGAGAGGTCAGGAGGGAACCATGTTGAGTTAGGGGGAACAGCGTTCCAGGTAGTAGGCACAGTCTGTGCAAAGGCCCTGGGGCAGGACCGCACTCTACCTGTTAGAACAGCAGGGAGGCCCAGTGGCTGGAGTAGAGTGAGCGAGAGGGAGGGAGGAAGGGAGGACAGGGATGGCTCAGAGAAGGGAAGTGACTCATCCAAGATTCAAGGTCAGTGGGAGAGTTGCCTGGTAACCCTCAACTTCTAAGTGGCCTTGAGTAACAAAATACCTCTGGTCTTGGGGACGAGTCCTTGTGATTTTGTACCACATCCTTTTTTTTTTCTTTGAGACATAGTCTTGCCCTGTTGCCCAGGCTGGAGGTCTGCAGCATGATCTCGGCTCACTGCAACCTCCACCTCCCAGGTTCAAGCGATTCTCCTGCCTCAGCCTCCCAAGTAGCTGAATTACAGGTACACACCACCACGCCCAGCTGATTTTTTTTGTATTTTTAGTAGAGACGGGGTTTCACCATGTTGGCCAGGCTGGTCTTGAACTCCTGACCTCAAGTGATCCTCCCGCCTCGGTCTCCCAGAGTGCTGGGATTACAGGCATGAGCCACCGTGCCTGGCCTAAAAAATTATTTGTTGTTGATCTGAAATTCAAAGTTCAGCTGGAATTTTTTCTTCTTTTCTGGTTTTCTTTTTCCTTCCTTCCTTCCTTCCTTCCTTCCTTCCTTCCTTCCTTCCTTCCTCCCTCCCTCCCTCCCTCCCTCCCTTCCTTCATTCTTTTTTTCTTTCTTTCTTGGAGACAGGGTCTGGCGTTGTTGTCCAGGCTGTAGGGCAGTGAGGCAATCATAGCTCACTGCGTCCTTGAACTCCAGGGCTCAAGCAATCCTCCCACGTCAGCGTCCCAATTAACCGGCCACAGGTGCATGCCATAGTGCCCGGCCGACGTGTAGTCTGTTCTGTTTTTGTTTGTGCTCAAACTCACCAGCTTACCCCAAAACACATGTCCCTTTCTGCCCACAGCCTAATCCTTAGGTCATTTCCTAGTCTTTTGGGGTTCCTTGAGGGCAACATCTGCTGAGGAGTCCCCGCAGGACCGCTACAGGGTAAGAGGTAAGAAATAGCTACTGTTGGCCAGAGGCCGAGGCGGGCGGATCACGAGATCAAGAGATCGAGACCATCCTGGTCAACATGGTGAAACCCCGTCTCTACTAAAAATACAAAAAATTAGCTGGGCATGGTGGCGCGTGCCTGTAATCCCAGCTACTCGGGAGGCTGAGGCAGGAGAATTGCCTGAACCCAGGAGGCGGAGGTTGCGGTGAGCCGAGATCGCGCCATTGCACTCCAGCCTGGGTAACAAGAGCGAAACTCCGTCTCAAAAAAAAAAAAAAAGAAATAGCTACTGTTGCCAGGCGCGGTGGCTCAGGCCTGTAATCCCAGCACTTTGGGAGTCCGAGATGGACAGATCACGAGGTCAAGAGATCAAGACTATGCTGGCCAACATGGTGAAACCCCATCTCTACTAGAAAATACTAAAATTAGCTGGGCATGGTGGTACATGCCTGTAATCCCAGCTACTCGGGAGGCTGAGGCAGGAGAATCGCTCGAACCCAAGAGGCTGAGGTTGCCGTGAGCCAAGATTGTGTCATTGCACTCCAGCCTGGGCGACAAGAGCAAAACTCCGTCTCAAAAACAATAAAAAAAATAAATAAGTAAATGAGTTTGAATGAGTGAATGAGAAGGGAAAGCCCGTTCCAAATGTCATGGAACAGGGTCTCAGATTCACTTGGGAATCTCACTGGCTGCATGAAGCTATTTGAATTTAAACCTTCAGGCAAGCGCAGTGGCTCACACCTGTAATCCCCATACTTTGGGAGGCCAAGGTGGGTGGATCACTTGAGGCTGGGAGTTCGAGAACAGCCTGGGCAAGATGGTGAATCCTTGTCTCTACTAAAAATACAAAAATTAGCCAGGTGTGGTGGCACGTGCCTGTGGTCCCAGGCACTCGGGAGGCTGAGACACGAGAATCGCTTGAACCCGGGGGGGCAGAGGTTGCAGTGAGCTGAGATCGCACCACTGGACTCCAGCCTGATGACAGAGAGAGACTTCATCTCAAACATAAAAACAGAAAAAGAAATAGCTACTGTTGACCTGGCGCAGTGGCTCAAGCCTGTATCCGCAGCCCTTTAGGAAGCCAAGACGAGGGAATTGCTTGAACTCAGGAGTTCAAGACCAGCCCGGCCAGTACAGTGAAACCCTGTCTCAACCACAAATACAAACATTAGCCGGGTAGGGTGGCGCATGCCTGTAATCCCAGCTCCTCTAGAGGATGAGGTGGAAGGATACAGACTGGTGGGGGCAGAGGTTCTAATGAGCCAAGATGGCACCACTGCACTCCAGCCTGGGTAACAGAGCAAGACCCTATCTCAAAAATGAAAATGAAGTAACTGCTGTTTTCTGGGCTATTTCATTATGTTATGCAGTAGCCTGATTCCCATTTTCTTTTTTAAACATTTTTATTTATTTATTTGAGACAGAGTCTCACTCTTGCCCAGGCTGGAGAGCAGTGGTGTGATTTCGGCTCACTGCAGCCTCTGCCCCCCAAGTTCAAGCCATTCTCCTCCCTCAGCCTCCTGGGTAGCTGGGATTCCAGGCATGTGCCACCACGCTGGGCTAATTTTTATATTTTCAGTGCAGATGAGGTTTCTCCATGTTGACCAGATTGCTGTCAAACTCCTAACCTCAAGTGATCCATCCGCTTCAGCCTCCCAAAGTACCTGACCACGATTTCCATTGTTTGGATCAGGAAACTAAGGATCAGAGAGGCAGAGTGACTTATCCCAGGTCACACAGCCAGAAACTGCCAGCCTTCTGGGTTTGAACCTTGGGTTATCTGTCTTTAAGCTTTGGCTTCTGTTTGTTTCTTTTGTCTTTTGCTTTTTTTTTGAGACGGAGTTTCGCTCTTGCTACCCAGGCTGGAGTGCAATGGCGCAATCTTGGCTCACCGCAACCTCCGCCTCCTGGGTTCAGGCAATTCTCCTGCCTCAGCCTCCTGAGTAGCTGGGACTGCAGGCACACGCCACCACGCCCAGCTAATTTTTGTATTTTTAGTAGAGACGGGGTTTCGACATGTTGGCCAGGCTGGTCTTGAACTCCTGACCTCTCAGATGATCCACTCACCTCAGCCTCCCAAAGTGCTGGGATCACAGGGGTGAGCCGCGGTGGTGCCCGGCAGGTCTTCGTTTTCCACGTTGTCTCCTTTTTTCTTCTTTCCTTCCGTCTCCACCCCGTCCCGATTCTAGGACTCCTAGCTCTTTCTCACTGAGTAGGGGAACAGCGGTAAGCATACTGCCACAAGGTGGCACTGCTGGTCCCAGATGGGTCCCTGCCTGGCCCAGGTGTTCCTTTTCTCTCTTCTGACCCTTCCTTCCCTCCATCCATCCGTTTTCTTTCTTTTTTTGAGAGGGAGTCTCGCTCTGTCGCCCAGGCTGGAGTGCAGTGGCGCGATCTCAGCTCACTGCAACCTCTGCCTCCCAGGTTCAAGCGATTCTCCTGCCTCAGCCTCCCAAGTAGCTGGGATTACAGGCAGGCACCACCATGACCGGCTAATTTTTATATTTTTAGTAGAGACGGGGGTTTCGCCATGTTGGCCAGGCTGGTCTTGAACTCCTGACCTCTCAGATGATCCACTCACCTCAGCCTCCCAAAGTGCTGGGATTACAGGCAGGCACCACCATGCCTGGCTAATTTTTATATTTTTAGTAGAGACGGGGGTTTCACCATGTTGGCCAGGCTGGTCTCCAGCTTCTAACCTCGTGATCTGCCCGCTTCTGCCTTCCAAAGTACTGGAATTACAGGCATGAGCCACCGTGCCTGGCCTTTTATTTATTTATTTGTTAGTTTGTTTCTTTGAGACAGAGTCTCATTCCGTCACCTGAGCTGGCAGGCAGTGTCGTGATCTTGGCTCACTGCAACCTCCACCTCCTCGTTTCAAGAGGTTCTCCTGCCCCCCGAGTAGCTGGGATTACAGGCACCCACCACTGTGCCCAGCTAATTTTTATATTTTTAGTAGACATGGTGTTTCACCATGTTGGCCAGGCTGGTCTCAAACTCCTGGCTTCAAGTGATATGCCCACCTCGGCCTCCCACTATGCTAGGATTCCAGGCGTGAGCCAGCATGCCCGGCCAGGGTCTGGTCTTTATCTTGGGTGTGGTGGGCAGCAGTATTGGATTCAGGGCAGGGGAGGGTCCTGATCAGGTCTCTGGGGAAGGGGCCTGTGAAATGTAGGGACTGGCAGGGGCCTGGGGGACCTGGAGGGGCCAGTGGAAGGTGTGGGCCCATGCCAGGTCTGCAGAGGGTGCAAGCAGAGGAGAGAGAGAGACTGCAGCTGGAAAGTGGACAGGTGAGGCTGACACAGGCCTCGGGTTGGGGGTTCAGGGTACAGGGCCAACGCTGAGGCAGGGACTGAGCAGAGGAGCATATTGGGGGATGTGGATGAGGGTGAGCTCAGTTGCCTCTTCCAGAACCCCCGGCCTATGGTTGCGGGGTTAGCAAATAAAAATACAGGACACCTGGTTAGATGCAACTCTCAGCTACACAGTGAGTACTTTTCTTTTCCCTTCTGAGACAGGGTCTTGCTCTGATGCTCAGGCTGGAGTACATGGTCAGGGCTCACTGCAGCCTCGACGTCCCGGACTCAAGTGATCCTCCTGCCTCAGCCTCCCATGTAGCTGGTAGTACAGGTGCACGCCACCACACGTGGCTAATTTTTGTATTTTTCATACAGGTGGGGGTCCCACCATGTTGCCCAGGCTAGTCTCAAACTCCTGGGATCAATTAATCCTCCCACCTCGGCCTCCCAAACTGCTGGGGTGACAGGCGTGGGCCACCGTGCCCGGCCATGTGACTAATTTCAGCATAATGTTCCAAATATTTTCAGACATACCTACGGTAAAAGTCTGTTTTTAACAGAGTTTCGTGGCTCACGCCTGTAATCTCCATGCTTTGGGAGGCTGAGGCAGGAAGACTGCTTTCACCCAGGTCAAAGTTGCCATGAACTATGATGGCACTGCCCTACTCCAGCCTGCGTGACAGAGCAAGACCTTGTCTCAAAATCAATAATTCATTTTGGCCGGGGACAGTGGCTCACGCCTGTCATCCCAGCACTTTGGGAGGCTGAGGCGGGCAGATCACTTGAGGTCAGGAGTTGGAGACCAGCCTGACCAACATGGCGAAACCCGTCTGTACTAAAAACACAAAAATTAGCCGGCTGTGGTTTCGTACGTCTGTAATCCTAGCTACTAGGGAGGCTGAGGCAGAAGAATCGCTTGAACCTGGGAGGCGGAGGTTGCAGTCACCCAAGATGACACCACCGCACTCCAGCCTGGGTGAGAGAGGGAGACTGTCTCAAAATATAATAATAATGGCTGGGCACGATGGCTCACGCCTGTAATCCCAGCCCTTTGGGAGGCCAAGGTAGGTAGATCACCTGAGGTCAGGAGTTCGAGACCAGCCTGGCCAATATGGTGAAACCCCCATCTCTACTAAAAATACAAAAATTAGCTGGGTGTGGTGGCGGGTGCCTGTAATCTCAGCTGCTCAGGGGCTGAGGCAGGAGAATCTCTTGAACCCCAGAGGTGGAGGTTGCGGTGAGCCGAGATCGCACCATTGCACTCCAGCCTGGGCAACAAAAGCAAAACCCTGTCTCAAGAAAAAAAACCAAAAATATCCTCAAATAATAATAATAATAACAACAACAATAATTCATTTAACTGACTGTCTTGTAATTAACCCGGCAACCCAGCTAGACCTTGTCCACGTCGACCCTGGCCACGCTGTGGCTCCAGCGAGCAGGTGGACTCCTGACCAGCTGTGGCCCTACGGTGAGAAGGCAGAGGATTTTGTCTCTGGCAGTTCAGGCTTGCTGCGGGAAGCCGGGGGTCTTTTAACATGCAGGCCCTGGTCTGTCCCCACCCCCAGGACCTCATGGCGCCAGCTGCCCGCTGCCCCCTGCAAGGCAATGGCGGGCGTGGGGGAGGGGAGCCACTCTGAGACCCACTATCCCCTCCGTCGGCCTCTCCCAGGCCAGGAGTGTCCTACTGACTTGCACGCA